TTCGTAATATTTTATGCCGCATAAATCTACGGTTATCAAAAATTTACTGCTGTCAAAAAAGATTTAATTTCACACAGCAGATTGGCAAAACTGTTTCACCATAGTAAAAATATTATTCAACAGCTTTCCCCATAGAACTTTGTTACCGATTCACACACGCCCCTTATGTTGGATTTCCCCTAGGCATTAAATGGAAAAAATGACAAATGACAAAGTTGGGCATTAAAAAATATTCGTGTAGTTACGTTAAAAAAAGTGTCATTAAGTTCATTTCCACATGACATTTTTTTAAATGGCATATATTTTTTGTTATTTCAATGCCTAGTGGATTTCTAATGAAAAGTTTTTTTTTACTCTTTGGGACTTGTCAAATTTTCTGCGACTATTTTAGACTTAGCAACAGAACGTAGTAAGAAGTAGTTCGATCTTAAAGTTCTTTAATAAAACGATGCATTTCCAATTGTTATTGCTTCTTGCATCGAAATAAGGAACACTAGGAAAAAATGGACATAGCAGTCACTTTTCAGTTTTATTTAGCTAGCGATTTGTAGTTTTAAAAAGTAAAAAAATAGTTTTTTTTTTAACTACCACATTTCGCTGTTTTTGAACTGGTTCGATCTAGTTACTATCAGACTGGTTCCTTTTTGGCGATAAAGTTCTAGTACGGAACTTGAAATTTGGTTCACTCGTTCGGGGTCTCTCTGCAGGCTTAGATCACGCCAAAGCTTGCAGATCACAATAACTATAAAATACCTACTCACCACACACAGATATCGAAGACTTTCGCAGGACTACTAGAGTTGGAATTCTCTTTCAAGACGCGATAATTGTTTTGTCGTGTCGAAGAAACTTAAACAAACATACAAACATACATATGTATGTGCATATGTACATAAGTATAAGTATAAATAAGAATTCCATTGCGTACGAAATATGTATGAAAATCAAATAGAATCCGCCGCGGCTCGAGTAAATCTCACTCCGGCACAATATCTGTAGAAGTAACTGGCCGTTGGTCATTTTAAAAATTCCACCACAGCTCGAGAAGTACATACATATGTACATGCATAGAAGCAGAAGCAGAAAATATTATCTAAACGGCAACAACGCACTTTTATTTTTATTTGAACCAAAGATGACTGGTTCTACAGGCTGTCTACTTCCACTGTTGTTGCTGTTTTCCGTCTGTCTGTTTTGAGTTAGTAAATTTGTTTTTTTATTTTTTGTGCTTTTATCACAACAAAGTGAGCTGTTTTAAGCTTTGTCCGTCCGTATGCTACTCAACATCGTTTATTCGATGATCTTCATCGCCGCTGAGAACTTGTTTCCGATGCTCGGAATGTTGAGCATGCGCGCCACTCAACTGGCGGCTGCTGGTAAAAGAGTGGCTTTATTACGCTTGTGTTGACTGACTAACGTGTTTTAATGCTGAGGTTCTACAGGTGGGTAGTGATTTTTTCTGTAGTTTTTTTTTTGTTCTTTGATCTTACTTTACCAATGCTATAATTTGTTTATGTACGAAACATACATTCATACATAATTACATATACTTTTTGTTTTTGTTAAACAAACGGCATTGGCGCTTAGAAATGATGACGTTTAAAACTTACTTGTAAATAGAATATGGGTGCGTCATGTAGATTTTGGTTATTTTTACAAACACAATTTTTTTAATTAATTCCATCATTAAACGTATTTGTGTGAACGATTCATAGTTTAGATAAGATCTTTACTAATCATGCAATATGTACATACATATGTATATATCTATCCTAAGAATTCTTTAATGAAACATACAATAGATCAGAAACGCAATAAATTCAATTCATTTAGGCTACATAAGTACATACAAGTGTACATATGCAGCACTGTGGTAAAACTAAAAAAATCCATACCTTTGAAGCCACTTAAATTATTATTTTTTTTTTTTCAGAGATTGTGACGTCTTACATCAGTCCGTCTTAAAACATTAGGGTCTAGGGAAGAAAAGTTTCTCTTATGTAATAGTTATATACATGTATGTATGTAAGATGTTGTAACAGCATAAAATTCACAGTTAAAACAGTTTTGAAGAATTCTGCTGAAATGGCAGTCATTGACCAGATTTATGTATGTAAATTTGGGACTTTTTCGATTAAGTATACCATTCTGTCGTGGGCATATAAGATCACCTTGGCCGCCGTGGTTGAGTGGTTAGCGGTGCGCACCAGCTCCCTTCAATACCTAGCATCGAAACCCCGTCCGAAAATATCTAAAAAAAAAGACCGGGGTCCTCAAGTCACTGGACGGCAGCACTTGTGGCAAAGACAAACGAACGTTGTTGGCGAAAACATACAGGGCAATTGGTCGGCCGGTTTTAAATTATGCAGCGCCCGTATGGGCGCCGGAGACTAGTAGGACGCAGTGGATGAAGCTGGTGGCAAGCCACAACACGGCACTTCGGACTGCGACTAGATGCCTTCTGATGTCGCACCAATACCACCTGCACGACGACGTTCATATGATCCTCATTAAGCAAGCAACGTGGGCACCCGAACAGGCACTTGCTCGTGGAAGAACCTGACGTGGACGGGAGAGAACTTTGTCTGCCTCGGGAGACTCGCACTATAATAGCCCAACTTCGCTGTGGCTATTGCAGCAGGCTAAACTCATACCTGAGTAGAATCAATGAAGATGTGCCCAATCAGTGCCCGGCATGTGGAGAGTCGCCACATTAATCACGGCACCTCTTCGAATATCCCCAAAGCCCCACACAGCTAATACAATACAGCCCCTGTTGAAGTCGCGCACTTCCTGGGCTTTCCCTTAGCTGAACCAGACGACCATGCAGATGGATGAGCCGACTCGAGCGGGGTTTAGTAGCCGCTACAACATGACTAGTTCAAGCAGAGAAATTTACGCTATTCCGGTTCACAATGTAAAAAATTTGGTTTTCTTCCATTTTTCTCTCTTCAAGCACCCTCATACTCCGCACAACAGGTCTAAAATAAAAGGAAATTTCGCTTGGTTTGTTAAGCCGATTGTGTGGTTTACTTCACTTCCAAATTTTTTCCCGAACATTGGTTGACCGTATTCATTTCATGTTAAGCAATGCTTCTACAAAAAAAAATACACCAAAGAGATGGCGGTGCAGTCGAAATATTTAGAAACTCTTCATTTTAATGTTATCCAAGTGATCACACGACTCATTTAGACAATGTACGGGAAAACTTTTCTCAGGTAGAAATAACATAGTTGGTAAAGCTTGTGAATCGAAAGGGACTAATATTCCATATGGTATCACTGGCTACTTTTCTTGGCCCTTGTGTGAGACGGGTTCTCCTCTTTAGCCGCTTACCAATACTAAGAATTTTTTGCTTTTCAACAATATATTTTGGCATTGGCCAACGTAAAAGTTGTTATCAGGTGCCGCGAAGAAAGCGGGCATTGGCTAGTAAAATTTTATAAAGACTACTTTAATGGATCAGCCTAAGAGTACTGTATAGTAAGTATACCTTTCTCCTTAATCGGTACCGCTACTTAACGATGGACTGAAACAGCGCGTTTCTAGAATCATGTAACAGTAAATTATAACTCATCAAAAATCATTAAGCTTTTGCTAAAGTGTATTTAAAACACTCCACAAAACTATAAAAAAAAATCTTTTTATTGCCGAATGTATCTACATACATACGTAGGTGGCACCAGAGCTGTTAAATTTCCATTACGTAATTATAATCATAAATTTTTTTAAATTTTTTAATTTTAATGATTATTTTAATTTTCTTACATAACCCAGCAATTAATAATTAATTATAATTAAAATTAATCAAAAATAATCATGATTAATTGCCATTAAAAAAAATAATCGAAAATAATAGCATAATCAAATTCAATCAAATAATTTTTTTATTTATTTGATTATTTTAAATTGTTTGATTTTTTTAAATTATTTTATTGTTTTTAGTTATCTGATTATTTCTAATTATATGATTATTTTTAATTATTTTTTTTTAATAGACAAAGCTGTGTTTGGCAGGCAAATTTTTATAAATTAGTATTAAATAACTGAAACCAAATTAACTGTACAAGTAAATACTTATACTGTAGTTTACAAGTAAAGAATGATTTCTTACAGATATTGTCAACTGTCTTTGCTATTCATTAATTCTTTCAGAAAGAATTTTGTAGAGAACACATTGGTGCAGATCTTACATATAGACATAGGTAAGCATATTGACCGCGTTTTTTATTCTCCTTGTGCATTTATCTTATATTACTGTATTAATACTCATAGTATGTATATTAATGCGTTTCAATGTATTATTCACAAGTTGAAAATATTTAAAAATAATAAAATAATTATGTATATTAATCATGCAATTAAAATAAATCAAAAATAATTAAATAATTATATTAATCATGTAATTGAAAAAATTCAAAAATAATTGAAAATAATAAAATAATCGTGTAATTAAACTTAATTAAGTAGTTAATTAATTTTCGTTTTTCAAAGTAATTAGTTATTAATTATTAAAAAGGTGCAAATAATGATATTTAATCATTAAACGGTTACCTCAAAAAACATGCTTTAATTAATAATCATTATGATTTTAATCATTATTTAACAGGTCTGGGTGGCACCGAAATGTAAAAAAGGCAACACTTAAGTTCGGCCAAAAGAAATTTGTTTCGAAATTGTCTTGAAAAAATATTTTAGACTCGGATGAACGGCGAACTTTTTGGTTTATATGTGTATAAGGTTATATGGTCTGATATACCTTTGAGGAATGCTGTATCGAAATTGGGTCAGACTGTTTAGTACTTTATGTAATTTTCATTTCTAATTGGCTTAAGAGTCGATTTCAAAGTTACTCAAGTGCTAAGCAAATTGCACATCTTTTGTCATGTTTGTTTATTTGTTGTTATTTTTCTTTTCCAGAATTGCGACAACAGTTAATACTTTTCACGCTTCATTAAAACTGGCTTCTAGTAAACATCGCCTTAATTTGTTTGCTTACCTGTCGAAGTGGATACCCAAATTCGTGCCTGAGACTGGCAGGTATGTATGTACTCTGTAGTTTGTTGCTTGCAAATTTTACCGCTCACATTCGTATCTGTGAGTATCTATTTTTGTTTTTTACTGTAATAACTTTTTTAATTTTTATTTGTGCAATTCATGCTTTCAATCATTTGTTTTAAATGCAATTGCCTTCACTTGTATTGCCTTTTTCGGTTTAAAATGCACTGCGGCAATAATAATGATAACATTCAATCACTGCACATCTCAGCTTTTGCAACACTGTAACTACATACTTCTTTACATATGCTCGACGTTCACCCAAAAGTCGTTATTTGCGAAATTTTTATTTACATAAAATTTATTTTAAATCGCGTGCGCATGTTAATGTGAAGAGTGGATATGTATATATATATGTACATACATTTGTACATATGTAGATGTGTGGGTATATTTGGTTGTGTGCGTCCACTGGCTATTGAAGGGTATCGCGTTGCAAGCAGTGCGGAAATATGCGGCCAATTTCTTGCTTTGTTGTTTCTTTTTTGCTATTTCGCCAGCGTATTCAAGGAAATAACTCCGGGCGAACGGCGGCTACAAACACATCGCACAAACAGCGCAAATAGGCATACAACAGCGCATTGCAAGCGCCCACATTTTTGAAGCATACAAATTAACAAATTTTCGGCATAAACGAGTACACATCGAACGTTTTCGAGATTTTCGTATTCGATTGTGCTGCTTTTGCATTTTTTCATAGCAAAAAAAAACCAAAACACCAAATGTAAATCCTACCAGCGGGTTCGCGAAATTGTCAACGGCGGTGACTAAAAACCAGCACATGCAACCGTTCCTTTATATTTGAAATCCGTGGAGGAAACTACCGTCCACAGTGTTGTGCGCGACAATTCCCGACGACGTTCTCAACCTGACTGACTGAGTAGCCAGCGACTGGCAAAATAAGCGAAGCGAAAACCAACTCTAAACAAGTCAAATGCAGAGGCAAACAAATACAATAAATGAAATAAAAAGAAAAAAGCAAAATCAAAAGCAAATGTAAAAGCACAAAACCAAAAAGTAATTGTATCTGCGCCTTGCCGCTGAATGGGAATTGGATGATATATGTATACAAACATATGGACACATGAACCTGATCAACCGACAACACCAACAATAACGTCAACGTCTTGGGAATTGTTGTAGTTGCAGGGCCGCATTCCTCTTCTTGGTATGGGCTTGCGGTCGGTCTTGTTGTAGACGGCATTCTCACTTTGTTGTTGATATTGCTGCTATCGATTATGTTTGTTGTTGTCGCTTGGTGGTTAGCTGTGGCTCTTTCACCGCTTGTTTGTGGCACGCTCCCTTCCCGGCACCAATACACCACCGCCGCCGCTATCAACAGCTGGTCGCAATATACATAGGCATACGTACAGCCGTCAACGACCGCTGCTGCCACCACCACCATCAGCGTACACGCAAATACCACCACCATTTCAGCCGCGCTACCTTCAATTGGCCTGTTGTTCGTGCACTCCCAAAAATGTGCAGGATATTCGCCTCACCTTCTCATGGTCTTGGCATGCCACTTTGTCGGTTAATTAATTTTTAAAATACGCGCGCTCTCAGCACCACTGACTGTGTGCCTTGCTATGAACTGCTCTTCCTTCCTTCCTTCCTTTCAGTTCTTTCACTTCAGGTTGCAGCCGCTTTTGATTTTTTCGGGGGGGATTAAAGCCTCAACATTCTTGTAAATGTTGTCGCGACCGGTTAGCAAATATATTGTTTGACCGCGATGTTGGCTGTATCGATCACTTAGTCACTAAGGCTTAGTGTATGGATCTATTGAGTGTTGGGTTGGTGATTCCCGTACGTTTCAATTCACACAGCGCTAAAGTTATCTTTACAATCATTTCATCTTGTGATTGTAATCTGATGGGTCTTGCATGTAATTGTTGTGTTTGTATATACATTTATTTTCTGGTGACTCTTAGTACGTCTTTGCGCTCCTATTTCGTTGAACGTCTGCTAACCTGTATTTCCTGTAATTGTTTTTGATCCACGAGAGCGACTAACTTTATTGTTGTCGTTGGTTTTAATCAAAAACAATGCCGCCGTCTCTTCCTATCTAGTTGCGCACGCGCTTTTTGACACGACATAATGGAAGTGGGGATTCTCTTAAGCAGAAATGCATATCATTGCAGTTTTTCAACAACAAATGAAAAGACTTAAAAACTTGTTTCTCAAACAATCGTAAACTATATGTTAACATTTTACGAAGATCTCCGATGATTTCTATCTACCAGATGTATTCTAATTCAAAGTTTTTTCTCGCTAAGATAGGCTCTTCGGATTGGAGGCGCATGACAATAAGTGTTCCGTATATGAGGACCTCACCCATATGCTGTACAGGTTTTAGCCACTTCTGGTTTAGCGGATGGAGATGGACGTTGAGTACGTTGCCCCACCCTCAACGGAGCTATGTTAGGGTGCCCTGGGGCACAATCTATATATGTAAATCCGAGTGGCGGTTCATTTCTCAACAAATATCTATCTATCTAGGGTGCACTTGGTATGTTTCGGTAGTTCTTCATCCTCAATACAGAGAGTGGCGGACGAATCGATATGTACGTTGTAGAGATCCGCTTTGTATCATGCCTCATAGAAGCGGAGGTCATTGTACGTCCCCACGCCCATTCTCAGGTCGCGTAGGTGCCATATCACGTGTCGGAGGGGTGGATCCTTTCGAAGCCGAGCGTCTTTGTGGTGATTCTCACGATGACATCCCACAAGGAACTGATTATATAGTAAGTTTTTGTGGCTGCAGCTGTTTGGGGCGTTTGAAGATTTTTCCCTTGCGAGTTGCTTGTAACATCGGCCGATCGCCTTGTTGAGTAGTTTTGTCAGATTCCCACGTAATTTCCCGCTAGCGGCAGAGGAGAACAAGATATCGAAAGCGTTTCCTAAAACCTAGGGTTTATTCGCAATTGGTTTTTTCGCCATCGATGTGTACGTCGAGTTCCAGCCCGATCTCTGCAATGTTAGGGGTTAGGGAACCTACTCTATAATGCAATACGAAAGAGCAATGCGATGCGATAGGCAAATACATCGTAAGTAATACGCAGTGGCGATTTCCTATCGCATCGAATTACAGAGTAGCTTCCCTGGGCTCGAATCTTAGCATCCGTTCATGGATCTAAAACCACGCGGAAGAAAATTTCGTGATACGTCAGTCGTATAACCTGAATGGGATAAAGAGTACGTTCACGTATGTCATAATCATGGGCGTAGCCAAGTAGGAGCAGGGGGATGCTCGAGCCCCCTCCCCCCCCTAACTTTCAAATTTTCCTTATATATATATACAATAGTACCCTGAAATGCCAGCTTAATAGGGTCGGATTTATTCGCTGCATTCTTAGACCAACACTTGAGAGACTAAGGGCCGGTTGTTCAATGTCTGATTAGCACAAATCGGAGGTAGAAGCTCCGGTTAAATACAACGACTGATTTATCGATCACATGTTATATGCGTGATGTCGAAAACGTCGATAATGATGTTTAACCGGCAAGTAGTGATAACCAGACATTGAACAACCGGCCCTTAATGATTAGTCGATAGCGCTTCCAACGAAGTGGTCCGTACTATGGAAAGGTCACTAAGATGCTAGCTAGCATTTAATCCCTGTATTCTAGTAACTTTCCATAGTACGGACCACTTCATTGGAAGCGCTATCGACTAATCATTTAGGCCCGGTTTCTCAATGTCTGGTTATCATTACCTCCCAATTAAACACCATTATCGACGTTTTCGATATCATGCATATAACATGTGATCGATAAAGCAGTGTTTGCATTTAACCGGTGCTTCTACCTCCGATTTGTGTTAACCGGACATTGAATAACCGGCCCATCTCCATCTCTGGTTAACACTAACTCCCCGGTTAAACATTGTTATCGACGTTCTAACTCCATGCATATAACAGGGAGTCGATAAGGTCGGTAACGATGTTTACCGGGGGGTAAGTGTTAACCGGAGATAGAGAAACCGGCCCTAAGACTCTTAAGTGTTGGTTTAAGAACTTTTGTAAGCAATCTTTATTTGCTGCTCTTAGTTCACTTTTGAAGTCGTTGAAACGTTTCCTATACCGCTACAATTGGCCTTATTGAAGAGTTTTCTATTCATTGATTTAGCAACCTTCATAGACTTTTCTGGTAGGTACCACCGTTCTTAATACAATGCTTTTGAATTGAAACATCATTTTATTTCTTTACCTTTAAAATAGAAGTAAACTTTATTTTTCGTTTTAAACACAATGTGACACCGTTTATTATATAGGTATGTATGTTTGTAATTTTAGGATGTTTTTGTTTCATTTCTAATATAATTTAATTTTTTTTTTATACATATCTTTTTGAATTAAACTTTTTATTCGGAACCCTCCCATTCTTTTGTTTGTGTTTACTGAAAATTACTCTTCCTTTCATTTAATTTCTTGTTAAACTATACCGGCATGTAAATATGTAGCATGTACGACGTATGTTTGTCGTTTGGTATGTATTGTATTATCGCACACATGTAGCTATGTAATTTTGTAAGCTAAATAATAATAGTTGGGAGTATACGATGCACGGTAAATAATTATAAGAGAATATAAGATACTCATAAAATTCTTAAGTGTAAAAAGAATGAAATAATCAAATGTTGTAGTTTTTGCATCATAGATTTTTTTTTATATAATAGTAGTAGTAAATGTAATATGTATGACTGTAATTTGTCAGACTTCTGATTTATTTTCTGACTGACATCACACACTATTTAAGCCCTAACCAGTTTATTTTGTTTGGTTTAATTTTCTCTCCGACACAAATTTTTCCAACTACTTATTCAATATCCATTTTTATATGTAAAATCACCAAGAGAAGATTACAATTATGTTAATGAATATTCATATGAATATCGACTTTTAATAACTAAGAAAAAAATTCAAGGGATTTAAAAAAAGTATTTAATATTGGAATAATAGATTTGGAATATGAATGCAAAGTATAATTGAATGTTTTATTTTTAATTGTTACTTTTTTTAAATTATATAGCTTAGGTGTTTAATAGTCCAATTCATTGAACATGTGTTGTTGTTATTTTCAAAAACTTAAGCTTATATAAATTAGACAAAACAATTTGTTCAACAATACCAAGAGTAATTTCCAAAACTTCGCACTGATTTTAAAGCTTACGAATTGCAGAACAAGCCTGCGAGTCTTTCTTTACTCTTGGCGTTGTGCAAATACTTTGTGTTTTTATTATTGTTCTTTACAAGTCAATTAAAGTTCTTAAATGCTTTCAAAGAATTGGCTTAATCAAATGAATTCCATAAGGTTTTCAATGAACTTGACTATTAAATACCTCGCAAAGAACAGTAAATTTACAAATTAATGACTTTTAATCCTCCCTTTGTGCCAATTATTCATGCTAGGTAATAATTGTTTCGCTCTGTACCCTTTATTTCTGTTTTATGAATCCTCAGTATTTTAGTTTTATACTTTTGGTAAACATTTAGGTATGTAATTTAACGGAATTTACCCGCGGTCCCAAGCAAACAGGTTATAATTTTAGCAATGCTGTTTAGTTTTGTTTCACTTTCGTAAATTTGCTGGGACATTTGTTTAAATTTTGAGGGAAAAGCGAAAAGGATTATGTCTCTAGGCCGTCTACTTAGCAGCAGAAGTAGAAGCAGCAACAGCTGTTTTTGAATTTTGTTGTAAATTTCGTGTATTTATTAAATAAACAATAGCATTTTGTTTAAGGATGTTAACTTAAAGATAACTGATTAAGTGCCAATAACCGCTCCACGGCAGCATTGATGTCTCCAAAAGTAGCAATTAGCGCTGCAATAAAAAAAATGCCACGATTATTATATATGTATATTTCATTTGCATTTTCGAAAAAAGTTTAGCATATATTAAAAAAAACTTTTTCGCTTCGAAATTGTCGATTGGTCACTCACCTTGCAAGTTGGCTTCCCGATTGCCGAATCCCATTGAGGCCAATTGTTCCAGCTGTGACTGATAGCGCACTTCTGGTGGCTGTGAATTGTCCGTCTGCATACTCATGCCGTTCAACATACGCGAAACGAAATCATTGAAGAGCTGGGGATTCGGTCCACCGCCAGGTGCTGTGGCCGGGCGATTAGCGTCACCTCCGGCGCTAGTGGTATTTGTGGTCGAGTTTGTCGTACCGGTTGAGCTCTCAGTGTTACCAGCTGGTGGTGGTGGTATGCCCAACGAACCGACTAGACCCGGCGCTGCCGAACGCAACTGTTCCATGCCCTGCTGTATCTGCATTATTGCATTTAGAGCTTCCGGATTTGTCAACATGTTCTGTACTTCGGGATTTTGCATTTGATTGAGGAACTGTGGCATCATTTGACGCACCTGATCTTGCAGTTGCGGATTATTGGCCAATAATGGACTGGTACTCAATAGACGTGATGCCATTTCGGGATCCTGCGACATGGCGTCCATCATGGAACGCGTGTATGGAGCATTTAAAAGGTTTTGCATTAAAGACGGATTTTCGGCCATCTGCTGCATGAGACTCTGCATGGCGGGCGTGTTGAGCATACCACGTGGCGGCAAGTCTGGATTAGCGCCATCCGCAGAGTTACCACCAGCGCTGCCACTAGCATTACCTGTACCGCCCCATGGATTTGGCAACGGTTGACGATTTTCGGTGCCCTGTTGAGGATTATTTGCACCTAAAAGAAGCATGATAAACAAGTTATACATGTATGTATAAGAAAAAGTAACTGCGTTTACTACACGTACCGCCAGATGCGTCCATAAGTCCGGAAAAGGGATTGCGCGTAAATGAATCGCTTGCTGCATTCAGCATTGGCTCTTGTATATCGCGATAGATGCGCTGCAATGCATTGTAACCACCTGGTACTGATTCTAAATTAGACATAGCGCGATCGTGCGAACGCATCAACTCTTGAAGCATGGATGGGTTGCGCGCCAGCTCCATTGTCTGCCGCAACAACTCGGGATTATTAAGCATATGCGAAATTTCCGGATTGCGCTGCATTAGGTCCTGCATTTGGGGATTCGAAGTGAAGAGGGAACGCATAATTTCCGGATTATTCATCATTTGCTGCACGAGCGGATTGTCCAGCACCGAGCGCAGCATATCGCCGTTACTTAACAATTCGCTTTGCATGCGTGCTTGTAAGTCCATGAAAGAGCCGCTACCAGCGCCCAGAGCCTCCATACCAGCCAACCCGCCTAGTTGGTTAAGACCGAATGGTGTTTGACGTACATCAGCGGCTGGTCGGGGAGCTGGCTCTGCTCCGCGTGTAGGAGCTTTGATCACCAGATGCACCGTCAGGCCATCCTTTATGTTGTGCGTCCTTAGTGTGTCGTTGTCCTTCATGATTTTGCCGGCAAAAATCAGCACTAGTTGTTCGGGTTCAGAGTCAAATTTTCGTGCTACCAACTGCTTGAACTGAAAGAGATAATCATTGAAAGCGCACGTCGCCGGAAAGAAAATTGTTTCCTTTTGGACCAATAACTAACTATATGCATACCTTGTTGCCGCATTAATCAACCACCAACAATAAACACAAATTTAACCACATGTGACGCAGCAACAACAAGAATGCATGGTTGCGCCACTGCGTCTGCCTTTTGAACAGCGATGCAATTGTAAATTTCCTAAAATTATGCATTCTTACATTCGCTCGAACCTTCTGCGCCAATCACCTGCTAACACGCATACGAAACCAACGAGAATTTGTACTAACGCAATGTCATAAAACTATGGCGGCAGTGTCACATGTGGTATTTATGCAGCGGTGCTGGCTTCAAATGCATTAGGCAATCTTTAAATTACTTCAAATTAATCTAAGCTGAAAAGTACACTCACTTCCTTAATTCCAGAATCTTCATCCACTTCGATTGTTTTCTTCTCCTTCGGCGTTTTTACGTTGACAACGATGCGCTTGTTATTACCTCCTTCTGCCATTTTTATCGACTTTTTTTAAAGCTTTGCAATGATTTTCCCCTCGATTTTCGTTTGTTGTTAGATTTTAAAAAAATTCCAGTTTTTATTTTGCAAAAATGTTGCGGGAATTCTCAAAGATTAAAGATTGAAAAATTTTGTCAATTAAAAACTAATTCGTCACTTTCGTGCAACACACACAACGAGAAAAAATTAACAAAACAGAGTTGCATTTCGTTTTGCGAGCAAATGCGTGCGTGAAAAATGCAGGGTTGTATTGGCTGTGGCAGTGTTGAAAAATGAGACTGTAATGGAAACAAAGAACGTAAATCTTCTTTGGTACATACATACAAAGAACGTAGATAACCTTCTTGTTATGTACGTTCTTTGGCAGTGCAAGCGCGGTTTCTACGCATTTTGCCAAATCTAAAGTATATTTTCCCGTGTAAACAGTCAGAAAGTCCTTTTTGCCGATTTGCAGAAATCACTTTCGGAAATAAAAACTGCAATGTGTAACTGCAGCTGAAATTAAGAGCGCAATACACAACGCAAGCGGCTTGACAAACCAAGCGAAATGGCTCTTCCCCAATAAATATTGTTACGATTATCCTTGAAACCTCGTCCGGATTTCCCAAATCTCTCGGTTCGTATCGCTGGATTGTTAAATAAATGCAATCGATGACCAAATTGTAGTACAATTAACTTTATTGTACAACAAACAATTTACAATACTCGCTAATACAGTAAAAACACTTTACAATACTTGTTAAAGCAATAACAGCGCTTAACTAAACTTGGTAACACAATTAAACTTATATCTTGCTTATTCGCAACTCACTTCTCTGCTCACTTTACTTGTAGCTTGCTGTCTTGTAACTCACTCAGCTCGCGGTGGCGGCGCCCTTATATACCTGCGCTGGCACTTATGGCAACTCTAGAACATTCTGAAGTTTATAGCTCCTCTCGGCTCGATGCGTTACTGGACATTGCTTCCAGCTTATCTCCGGTGGTGCACCATCTCACATGGTCGTGCTTCTGCCGGCCACTGGTGGTGACCAGACCATGTCTCTTCTCATGGGCACCCTTTTCGGCAGATCTATGCCGCATCCTCTGTCCATGACACCGAGGCTCCTGCCTTCGTGCTGCACTGCCTTTAGCACATCTTGCTAAATCCGGTTCCTCACGCTGAAACTTGCCCAGTGTTTCCGCATCTCGCTCCTTCTCCGGCGTCAACCTCATTGACCGGACATGTATAACCTCATCCTTAGCTTCCGGCTTAACTGCTCGCCTTTGCCGGCCACCTTTTCCGGGACACTTCAAAGCGCGCCTACTGCTTTCACAGCCGCTTCCATTTCCGGCCACCGACGTATCACCATTGCAACGTGGTTCAGTGGCTTTCCTCCCGCCGGAAACACTGCCTGGCTCGCCATGACCACTTCCTTGTTGTGACCTCTTCTTCACTGAGCTGGCGGAACCGTCACGCTTTTCCTGTATCGGTGAACCGCTTCCTTCTCCAGACGAAACCACTTCGTCTCCATCACTGCCAACCTCCGCCCAACTAATCGCTTCTGTTTCTGGTGGAATCTTCGACACTTCCTCTAAGACTAACCGTCTGCTGCAGCACTGGCTGTCGTAACCAACCCTAAGTGGCACTTTCCTGTGACGCCCTGTCAGGATCATTCTCTGGAGGTCAATCTTCATGCCTTGGCCAAGTAAGAAATCCACGCCGATGATGACTTCATCCACAATGTCTGCCACTATAAACTTAGTGTACGAGGCCACATCGTCGATTATTACCTCGCATGGTACTTCTCCTAATACTTGGGAGCGTTCACCAGTTGCAGTCTGCAGCTTTGCTCCAGGTAGTGGCTTCACATAAAAAGTGGCCAAATCCGGTCGAATAATGGAATGTGTCGCTCCAGTATCCACTGTCAGTACTCTTTCCTGCCCATTCACACATCCACCAATAGTGAGGTTGCTCGCATGCCGGCCAACTTGGGAGACGGAGATTATGGGCCCTTCAACTTCTGGAGCCAGCACGCGGCCCTTCCTGCTGGCACGTTTTAGTTCAACGACTGATTGGAGTTGGCTTCGTCTCCTTCAGCCCTGCGTTTGCCTCCTGCTGAATTGTTGTGCCCACTGGAACTTGCACTGCAATCGCGGGCGAAGTGGCCTGACTTTCCACATTTAAAATATTTGCCAGAGCCATGCTTTTTCTCGCCCAGCAGTTGGATAATCTTCTTCAGCATTTCATTTGTCTCGTCCGGTGTTTCCACTTCCACGCGATGTGCTTTGTAGGCTGGTCTACTTAGGAGTGCTGCCGTTTCACGCGTCTGAGCATACGAGACCGTTTCAGCAAATGTTGGCTTTGGATTCGCGTACGTCTCTCGCTTGGTATACACGTCCCGCATTCCGTTGATGAACCTCTGGATCTTTACCCCTTCAAGGTGTTCACCAGATGCGTCTCCAATAGCCAAGTGAGCCAGCCTCTCGATCTCCGAAGCGAATTCTTGTAGAGTCTCGTTGGCTTTTTGGCAGCGATTCTCCAGCTCCATCTGGTAAATCTGTCTCCTGTGCTCGCTACCATAACGTCTTTCCACTGCATCCATTAACGGATCGTAACTGTTCCTTTCACAGTCGGGAATAGTCTGCAAGATTTCTGCCGCAGGTCCTTTCAATGCAACGAATAGTGCAGCGGATTTATCCTCCATGCTCCAATGATTTTTTCGAACTGGAGCTTAAAGACCTGGAAAGGAATCGTGCCGTCAAAGGATGGGGTTTTTACCTTGGGTGCGCTCGTCGAAGTAGCTGGACGATTCAACTGCAATTCTCGAAGTCGACCTTCTAACTCGCCCATCTTAGCCTCGACTTTGTCCTGTCTCTCTTCGATTTTTTCCTGTATTTGTACAATCTTTGCATCCTGTGCTTCCAGTTGGGATGACATCTGTGCTGATACCGCTGCTGATATACGTGTCTCCAGCGCTTGCATCTGCGATGAAACATCTGACGATTGTGTTTGCATCTGAGTTGACAGCTGTGATGACATCTCTGACATGCGTGTATCCTGTGCTTGCATCATCTGTGACATGGCAGCCAATAACGTGTTCATGTCCATAACTGTTGATGACGAAGGAGCCTTTTGCTGTTCTTCAACCTTCCCGGATGTCTGCTGCACATCCTTCGACGAACATGCAGCCTCATCCTTCTGTTCGTCCTTTGCGGATGTATCGTCGGGTTTACCTTGGAAGTCGTATTTGTCCACGTCGATGCCTTCAGCTTCCATACCCTCTCGCAAACGGGATAACAATTCCACTTTTCTTCCGGAGGTGGCCAAATTACGCTTTTCCAACTCCTGTTTCAGCTCCTCAATTTTTAAGTCCTGAATTTTCGCCATTTTTAGTAGTTTCTCCTTCGGGATTTATTTAACAATCCCACTTCTGACACCAATTGTTACGATTATCCTTGAAACCTCGTCCGGATTTCCCAAATCTCTCGGTTCGTATCGCTGGATTGTTAAATAAATGCAATCGATGACCAAATTGTAGTACAATTAACTTTATTGTACAACAAACAATTTACAATACTCGCTAATACAGTAAAAACACTTTACAATACTTGTTAAAGCAATAACAGCGCTTAACTAAACTTGGTAACACAATTAAACTTATATCTTGCTTATTCGCAACTCACTTCTCTGCTCACTTTACTTGTAGCTTGCTGTCTTGTAACTCACTCACCTCGCGGTGGCGGCGCCCTTATATACCTGCGCTGGCACTTATGGCAACTCTAGAACATTCTGAAGTTTATCGCTCATTCTCTTTCTCTCGCTGTTCGCAGTGTTCATCCAACTTGACGTTTCTCTTTGTGGAACATTCTACGTCATTCTTCGAACATTCTGCCTATTTCTCATTGTTCGCTTTGTGTTGCCGCAGTATTCGCCACAATATAAAATTAAGTAAGGTCGGTGTTATGCAGAAATTTTGTTTGGCAAACTGCGTGCAATTGTTGTTGCAGCAAACTCGGAGAGAGCGAGTTTGGCGACTCTCACAGCAAACTAATTTTGTTTGGTCAAACTGCAGCAAATTCGGTGTTGTCATATACAAAAATTTTAAATTTTGCGCGTTATGTACATCTGAAATTCTCATTTCGTGTTGGCAATAGCCATGAAAACCATAATGAACGTGCAACCTTGTGCCAAACTCGACATAACCACCTCCGAGCAAACTAAGCAGCCGCCATTTAATTTGGCAAACAAAAGTTTGTCTGCATAACACCGACCTAACTGCTTAGCCAAAATCAAGGCGAATTTATACAAGGTGGTGTTATCGGATCCGCTGATTTCACGGCGAATTTGTACCTTTTGTCAAAATGGTGTGTTTGTTGTAATTTCGCTTTGTACTGATTGTCAATGTGCGTATAATTTGTTGTTGTAATTTTTGTTTTTGTTCTGTCAACACCATATATAAATTTTCTAGGCCAAAATACTTCTCTTTTTAGAAAGTTCAAAAAACAAACACAAGTTATACAAACAAAACAGGATTTACGATTAACATATGTATGTATTTTGGCCTAAATGCGTGCATATTTGATTATGACGTCGGCATCACACTAAAAAACAAAATTTTTAATTCAAATTAAAAAATTCAGGTATTACAAACAATAGATCGATAGTCCTACTAAACTATCGATATTTTTGATAGTATGGGCGTGTGTGAATCGGTAGCAAAGTTCTATGGGGAAAGCTGTTGAATAATATTTTTACTATGGTGACACAGTTTTGCCAATCTGCTGTGTGAAATGAAATCTTTTTTGACAGCAGTAAATTTTTCATAACAGCAGATTTATGCGCAATAAACTATTGCAAATTGAGTGAAATTAATATTTTAAGAAAACATCTACCATCATTGATTGCAGTTCATCAACTTAACCTTTTATTTTACGAAAAATTACACACAGCAGCAATCTTTGCAATTGTCAAAATTTTCTATGCATTTGTCAAAAATTTCACTAGCCCTATGGGCTACTGAAATTTTATTCACCTCAAACTTGTCAAAAATTTACTTGCCGCGAACTTTGTTACCGATTCACACACGCTCTATAAGAAAAAACTATCAATGAGTATTGATGGTCTAAAAAAATTGAAACTATCGATAGTGCCATCGATAGTTTGACAACTCTATGGTATAGTTTGATCCCTAGCCACCAAATAAATTCCGCTATTTGCTTCGCACGTGTGTTTTTTTGCCTGTGAAGCTTTGATTAATTTTTGACGTAAAAATTCTTAATTTGCGGCATTCGCATGGGCTGCTCACGTTTCTTTGTGGCTAATCTGCCACCTAACACAACTGAACAGCAGCTATTGCGGATTTTTCAGGATTATGGCACCGTTGAGCGTGTAGAACTGAAGACCAAAAATAATCCATTTGAAGCGGAAAGCGACAAAGTGATAGCGTTTGTAACGCTGGAAATACATCCAAACGATGTGAATAATTGTAGGATGCAGTCAAAGTATCCAGAATAAATCAAATTACTATAATTTTAAAATTACAGGCGTTGACGCGCTTAATTGGGTGAAGGTAAATGGTACGAATATAAAGGTTTCGGTGGCGAAAGAATCCTTTTTAGAACGCTTAAAGCGTGAACGTGAGGAGGCTGAAAAGGGAAAGAATCCTGTCATAGATGTGGTTCGGAGTGAACAGCAAACTGAGGCGTTCCTTCCACAAAATGCCGAGAATACACGTAAGACCTTTACTGAGGAGGAATTGACGGCGTTGGAAAATGACGATGACATTGCTGCACATTTGTTGATTAGCAAGAAACGGGCAGCTAGTTCGTTGCATAATGGCAGGGTAAAACTTGTGCATAGTTTTGTTGAATACAAAATTTAATTCATTTATATTTGCAGATAGTTATTCAAAGTTACGATACCAAGCCAATGCACATTATCGAAGGAGCGAAGAAGAAAAAGAAGCCAGATGGGTCAGACAGTGTAGCTGAGCAGAAGCGCAAGGAATCACAAAATAAAATGACTAAGCAGTACAAAGATAAGAAATCAGTTATACAGCAAGCTCTTTCCGGCCGAGTAACCAACGCATAACCTTTTGTCCGTACGAAAATCGTACATGTATTTACATATATTTACCGTTCCAGGATGCGCCGAAATCGAAGAAAATCAGATTCAGCGATACGGAGGAAGATGAGCACACTGCGACTCAGAGCGATTTCCATCAGAAATCTATAACCAATATTTTCGGCTCTGATGAGGAAGATGATGAAGAAACTGATACAAAGTTGCAACTGAAACCGGAACTCTTTGGCAAGAAAGGCGAAAAATTGGTGGAAATGCAAAGTAAACAGAGCCTGGATCCGCGTTTTCGCATTGATGCTAAATTCGTCGACGATGATGATGGTGAAGGGGAGGAGCAGATTGAAGCGTCTACACATAAAGAATCCTTGCAAAATGTCGAAACTGAGCGCAGTTGGCAAATGGGCATACTGGAGCAGGTGGTGGGCTCAAAGATCGACACCTCCGACAATGCTCAAAAGGCGGCGCGTAAGAAACGTATGTTACGTTATGATCCATCTAAGGAAGAGCACCAAAAGTTACTGCGTACTACAGCGAAAGAAGCGCCAGAGGAAGATATTGAAGTTTCGGCCACGATCGCTGGCAAAAAGAAACAAAAAAAGCACCGCATAGACATTGTGGGACCCGAAAGCGAAGGGAAAAGCCCAGAGGTGTCTAAGGAGGTATTCTACGTGGTCACCGACACACTAGCCGAGTCGCTTAAGACGCGCGGCGATGGCTTCAGCTTGTTGAATATGTTTGGCAGCGGGAATTCGCAAGACAAGCGCGCAGATGAATTGAAAAAGGTATCTGATGCGAGGATTCTTGTCACTAAGCCGGACAAGAATGCATTGAATCCATTCAAATATGACTCATCCTCAGACGAAGACGGTGAAAATGAGAGCAAAAAGAGAGCAACAGAAGCTAAGCAGAAGACGCTGAAAAGGGAAAAGCAACAAAACAAAATTGTGGTGGAAAGTTTCTTCATACCGCGCAATGATGCCAGGCTGAAAGGTAAGTGGTATCAAATCTATCATTGAATTGGATTTTTCTAATTATTCCTATCCTTTCCAGAGGGTGCTAAATTCTTCCGCTTTGAAAAGAAGATTGAGCCGGAAGAGGACTACGAGGCTGTTCGTAATCGTTTAAAACTGCTTATAAGAAGCAAAATTAATAAAACTAAGAAAAATTTGTTGGCTAGCAGTGGAGGTGGCGGGCTGCATAAAAAACGAATAAAAAAACACCATTAAACGGTGGCAATTAATAAAACAGTGTGTTCTTTTATTATTAGATTCCTCCTGAACATTGGAAGATTTCTAATTTTACGATTCGATGAATTTCATTTAAAATTTTCGCGATTCCACCAGGGGAACAGAAGCGAGCAGAAAGCCCGCACAATTTTGCTCACCATGATGTAGCACTGCTGCATCATTGATGCGCGTCTGATGCTAATGTTGCGCAATTTGCTGCATCACTGATGCGGGTTTGATGCAAATGTTGGGCAATTTTCTGCATAATTGATGCGGGTGTGATGCAAATGTTGCGCAAATTCCTGCATCATTGATGCGGGCTTGATGCAAATGTTGCACTACTTGCTGCATCATTGATGCGGGTCTGATGCAATGTTGCGCAATTTGCCGCATCACTGATGCGCGGTTGCGTGCTGGGTATTTCTGGTCGCCTGGTATTTCTCGTTGGTGCGTTCGGTCGGCACAGGGTGATTCAGATATACAAAATAATTTTTATAATAAAAAAAACGATATGGGTATCAAATGAAAGGTATTTGAGAAAATAGAAATTTTAAAATATTTTGAAGGTTGCCAGATTATTGTTTTTTTTTTAAATATTAAAAAAATTAAAAATGCTGTGTTTTCCGTACTCATATTCATTTATGTAAAAGGTATTTGAGAAAAGATAAATTTTAAAATATTTTGAGGGTTGCCAGATTAATGATTTTTTTTTTAAATATTTAGAAAAATAAAAAAAGCTGTGTTTTCGTACTGATATTCATTTATGTAACAGGTATTTGAGAAAAGATAAATTTTAAAATATTTTGAGGGTTGCCAGATTAATGATTTTTTTTTAAATATTTAGAAAAATAAAAAAAGCTGTGTTTTCGTACTTATATTTATTTATGTGTTAGATAAAAAATTAAATTTTAAATATTTGTAGACAGTGTTGCCACATTATCCGTTTTAACTTAAAAAATTGGTTTTTACAATATAGCTAACAAATGAAAGGTATTCGGAAGGGGAACATTTTGAAAATTGTTTTGGTCAGGTTGCCATATTTTTCGCTTTTGAAATATTAAAAAAAAAATAATATTTCGGGTGTGTTTTGCCTTTATATATATATATATTTTTAATTTTATAAAAAAGAAATCACACAGCGGAGTTGCCTTTTTTCGATTTTAACATATGAAAAGTGTGGGCTTGTTCGAGCTGCAATCACAACCGCAGTGTTGCGCGAATTATTTAAGTATCACGTTCTGTGCAACGTGCGTTTCTAGCAACGTATTATTAGTTAGACAGTGTTGAAAATTTGCATCAGTACGGCAGTAAAGCCGTTTTTTTACGTGCCTCGAACAGGCCCGGTATCTTACAATATGGATACCAAATTAAAGGTAATTGAGAGCGACCAATTTTTGAATTACATATGTATGGGCAGGGTTGCCCATTACTAATTTATTAAGGAGTATTTTCTTATTGTTCGCTTCATTTCTGTAATTTTCATTTCTTTTCTGCAAAATTTCTTACTTTCAATATTCATGAACAGGGTTGCCATTTTTCATTTTAACATAAAAAAAATATTTTACAATATGCGTATCAAATGAAAGGTATTTGATCGAGTAAAAATTTGGAAACTATTTTGAGTAGGGTTGCCACAGTATTTTTTTTTATATAACAAAAATAAATTTTTGGTACTTGCTCGGCTTAATTACAATATTTTTGATAACTATTTTGAACAGCGTTGCCATATTATTTTTAAAAAGAAACAACATTAAATTTTGAGTATTTTTTTGATAGCACATTTAAAAATTTTAAATATTAATTTACAAAGTTACCATTTTCCTATATAAAGCGCATTTTACAAATACGGGTATCGCATGAGAGATATTTAAACAGGTAAAAATTTGAAAATAATTTTGGACAGGGTTGTCATATAATTATTTTTTTACACATTGGAAAAATAAAATTCGATTATATTGTGTGCTTATACATTTACATACATATGTAGTCATTAGTTTGAAAAGTAAAGATTGCATATTGAGTATTCCTAAAGAAGTTGCCGTTCATAAATTTTATATTAAAAATTAATGATTTTAGTGTAATTCAGGCTCATACAATTATTGTATATTTCATGTGTGTACTTAATACATATTTTTGCGTGTGGGGCAACAATTTTTTACTTATTCTCTTTTTTCTTAGAATAAAAAAAAATTAAAATGGCACATGGGTTTCATAAAATGGCACAAAATGAGTATTAAAAAGTTAATATCTAATTAAACAATTAAATTAATTAAGTAAATTTTTGGTAAGTTTCGGTTATTTCAAATAGCATCCGTATCCTTATAGCTAAACTTACGAAATAATTAAGCACAATAATTTGTATATGTGTATGTATATAAATATACTATATCCTATTGAGTATTGTCTGACTAAGTAAAAATCTCATCGAATTTGTTCTTTGGCATCGCAAAGCGCTTTTTTCTAGCTCATTTGGCCTTAGCTAACTTAAATCTAATTTACTTAGTTCACTAAATGACTGGGGTTTTTGTTGTTGTTTTTATTGACGCATTTTATTTCCATTAAGCGCATAGTTGTTATTTATTCCTTGCTTTCCGCTGATTTCTTGCCAGCCAACGTTTCTATAGCGACAACTGTACGTTCGAGCAATGCCAATAAACGCTCTTCCCGCGCGTCCATGCGTTGCAGCAATTCTTCATCGCGCTTCTCGCGTCGCTTTAAGTACTCGATCAGTTCGTAATTTGTACTATCACCGCCATCGGTAGATGTGGAGAGTTTGCGTTTGCTTTTTGCAGAGCCACCACCGTTACCATCACCACCGATAACGCTGCTGCAATCGGAAATGTTATCGGTGTCGACAATAACGTCCGGATGAAGGATGTTGGGGTCAATGTTGTGCGGATAGTAGTTTTGTGATCTGCAAAGCGGAGAATTTAAAAAATGATATAAGCAATCACAAAAAAAAAAACCGATGTTGATTACAAAGCTAAAATTGTTTCCATAGATACAGGAAATAGTAGGCCTGCTCGATGAGTGCACTAAAAGTGCATCTGCGATAATACAAGACGTTTTTGTTCGTCTCGCTTTAACAGCCATCTTGCCAATTTGCCTCTTTGACAAACTACTTTCTATATTACCACGATTTTCATGAAAAAGTACTAAGGAACAAGTCTACATAGAATACCAACCAATTGCTATAAAAAACAATGCGGATCGATAGAACTTTCAAAGCTGATTTTAACAATTTCTAAATTATCTGGCGCAATTAAAAGAGGTTAAAACTTCAGCTTTTCTATATACATACGGTGCCGGACAAAAGTACCGGCACAGTGAATTTTTCGCAATATGAGTAAAGTTTTTTATTTCTATTTGTTTTCAATAATTTTGTATAAAAATGTTAAAAATAAAATCTTCAAACTTTGTGCAAGACTCAGTAAAACTCAATAAATTTGCATAGTAATTTGCAATTTTTTATTCAGATTTCCTAGAAAAATTCTAAGTATGTAGTTTTATAGCCCATTTAATTTTTAGTTTTAACAAAGTGCACGTTTGAAGTTGCAGAAAATCACGTAGATTTTTGGGAATTTTTTTAGTGGAAGGTGTTGCTCATTTTCTCCATACAAAAACTAATTGTTGAACATACTTTGTATGGAAGAAAAACTTATCGAAAATAAATTAGAATAAAAAAATTTTGGTTAAATAAAAAATTGGTTATTATTATTGGGAATCTCCTGCAGGGGAACGGAGTTTTTATTTAATATATGACTTTCACCTTTCCGAAAGCTACCGCTACATGGTAAGCCGAGCGTATCAATTTTGAGTAAATTAGAGACCTTAAATTTTAAAATTTTGAAGTTTCAAGCAGTTCAGAAATTTACCGTTATATGAAAAGCGGCCTCAATTTTAGTCCGATTTTAATAATTTTCAACGTTTTGCTTTTGTGTGGTGTTTGGTACAAATCGGTAGAACGGTTACCTAGATACATATATGTGATCATAAGTGGGCGGTGCCACGCCCATTTTCCAAAATTTTTTCATAAATGTATTTCTTGGTTAAGAATTGTTCCAAGCATTAATTTTGAATAAATTAGCTTTTATATTTACTGATTTATCGAAGAATTTGTATTTCTCTAAATTACCGTTATATGGGATGTGGGCGTGGTTATTGTCCGAATTAAAAAATTTTCGGCCATTTGGCATGGTGTACCAAGGCCAACAACTGTGCCAAGTTTGGAAGAAATTGGTGCAGCGGTTACCAAGATATACACATGTAACCATAAGTGGGCGTGGCTATGCCCATTTTCCAAAAATTTATAATATTCTTATTTTTCGTCTAAAAGTTATTGTAAATATTAATTTTGAGTGAATAATCTCCAGTAGTTACTAAAATATCACAGTTTTCGTATTTCTGAAAATTACCGTTATATGGGAAGTGGGCGTGGTTACGGTCCGATTTCGCCCAACCTACCTTGGATAAATGGAAACCTACATACCAAATTTCGTTGAGATATCTCAATTTTTGCTCGAGTTATCGTGTACACGGACGGACGGACAGACAGACATGGCTTAATCGACTTCTCTATTCATACTGAGCATTTATGTATACATTTGTCTATATCTATCTCGATTCGTTTTGGCTGTTACAAATAACCGTTATGTGAACAAAATTAATATGCCCTTGTGCACAAGTGCCCTCGGGAATAAAAATATAGGAGTATATTTTTTCGGTATAGAACAATCCTAGGGGCGAGAGCGTTAAAATTCTGAGTTTACCTTTTCACATGCAATTTTGGACCACATACATACATACACATGTATAAAATATTAGCTCTTAGTTATGTGTAGCCAAAATAAAGTCGACTCCAAAGTTAGTTGCAGATCTTTTGACAGATATCCCATTGAAAATTATGTCACAAAAACTGAAATTGACTTTAGAGTCGACTTTATTTCGATTATATCTACGGGCCACTGTGTTTTAATAAACTAAATTACCATTTAATGTACAACTTAATATATATATACCTACTATTTTCGTAAATTTAGCTTTTCTTAATATACCATTTATGACTAAAGTCACAAAAGAATGAGCCATTAATAACTACGAATTATAGTACTAAACTTAGGGGCATTGCGCAAAGGGGCTGCTCTTCTTCACCTTTCTCTCTTGCTCCCGTATTGCTACCATTTGTAAGGGAGCCGTCGAAACGAGCTGTGACTATGTAGAACACCTTGTATTATTCTTTATCTTCTTCTTCATTGGCGCTGTAACCGAATAAACAATTTTGGCCGATTCAAAAACAGCACGCCAGTCATTTCTCCTCAGTGCCAACTGACGCCAATTGGAAATGCCTAGTGAAGGCAAGTGCTTCTCCACCTGGTATTTCCAACGCAGAGGAGGCCTTCCTTTTCCTCTGTTATCAGCATCGCCGCCCGCGTTAAATACTTTCAGATCAGGAGCGTTTCTGGCCATTCGAACGACATGGCCAAGCCGCCGGAGCCGCTGAATTTTAATTCGCTGCGCTATTTATGCCTACATCGTTGTAAAGCTCATGCAGCTCACCGCGTAGAGGTCCGTAAATCGTTCTCTCGAAAACTCTAAGAGTCGCTTCATCAGATGTTTTCATTGTCCATGCTTCTGCGCCATACACCAGCACAGGCATGATGAGTGCCTTATAGAGTGTGATCTTTGTACGACGAGATAGGACTTTATTTCTCAATAGCCTATTCAGTCCAAAGTAGCACTTGGTGGCAAGAGTGATTCTCCGTTGGCAGATATTTCGTTTTGTCCTCGTTTATCACCAGACCCATTCGCTTTGCTTTTCTATCTAATCCCGAGAAGGTAGAACATACTTAGCCCTTGGTTTTACTGATAATATCGATGTCGTCGGCATACGCCAGTAAGTGTACGCTCTTGTAAAGTATTGTCCCTGAGTGGTTCAGTCCTCACCGAACACTTTTTCCTACACTAGGGTACTCCACGAACTAACCTATTTTCAAAATTTAGTATAGATACTATTAAAATAAACAAATCCAAAGTCTTATCGATAACACAATCGATAGTGGTTCGTTAAATATATCGAAAAATACAGATATTACAAATACTATTAAAATATATATATCGAAAATCTCATCAATAGTCATTCGATAACTTCCCGATTAATTTAAAATATATCGAAAACTTTTTCGATAAATTAATGAATATGCATATCGATTACTTTAAGATAATACAATACCTACATAAGTATGTATATGTATTTAGTACCGACCAGCGTACATTTTCGTATTAAAACTAAAACATCGATATTTAAATTTCAATTTGTAGCAACCTTTAATTCTTTTCATCAGCGTTTATTTCTTCGGCTCTTACTTACCCATTGTAGTTAGTCTGCATCAACTGTATATCATCCGGATTGAATTCTCCCTCGGACATTGGCTCAGACCTGCATTAATGTAACAGAAACATAATTAATGCATTAATTAAATTTCTAAAAAATAACTAAATAGTTATGCGCTGAACTCACTTCATTGAGATGTTATGCTCGCCATTGGGCAAACCCAACGGCGCTACGCCATTGCAGTCTTTCTCAAAGTGTGGTCGCAGCACATCCTTAATGCCACCATTGCCGACATGGGGTGCCAGCAAATTGCCCACTGCGGTTGCTCCGCCACCACCAACTGCTAAGCGGGCCACATCGTTCACAACATTCGCACCACCATTTAGTGGCCGGGCGCCATTCAGCTCGCCCGTATGTTGCGGTTCCGCAGCGCCGTTGCCACGCTCCATCCCACCTACTACACCGCCCACGCCAGCGCTGACGCCATTTTCCCTCATTTCCTGTTCCTTCTGCATGGCTACATTCATTGCAGCCGCCGCAGCTGCTGCTGCTGCTGCCGCTGCCGCTGCTGCGCTTGCGCCTGGTGGCAGATGCAATGACGCGCTGCCATCACCATACATACCCCCCATACTGCTGCCACCTTCCAGCCCGTCACCTAGCTGTGCTTCCACAAAGTGATTGGGCAGAAAGCGTTCCATCTTACTATTATTGCTACTTGAGTCGGTGGAGAGGCTCTGCAGCAAGCTGTGTTGCATTACAGCAGCCGCCTCTTTGCCCAGATACGCAACACCCAGTTCAGCGGCCTGTCGCCGGCGCTGATAGTAGGAGAGTTCTTTGTGGCTTTTGGCAATCAACGCCAGCCGCTTGCCATTCGCCGAACCCCAACATTCGCCGCGTTGCTCTTCGATTTCCTTGAACAGAAACATGTAGGGCCAGTTGCGGCGTACGTGCCGCTCAGGATTCTTCTTTAGTTGTGTGTAGATCTTTTTTAAATTTTCATAACGATTGCAACACTGTTTAGCCGAGCGCTTGCGTGCGCTAAATCGATTCAATACTTCTGCGACCATTTCCCAGACGCTGGCGTGATTTTTGCGATTCGATTGGAAGGCACTCTGAATGCGCTCGGATTTGACGATGTTCAACAGCGCAATGGATTCGGGCACATTGAAGTAGCTTTCGGGGGTACGCGGCGCGCGATGATGGTGATAGTTGCCGGTGCTGTTGCTGTTGCTGCTACCATGGCCGTTTCCGTGGCCGTTACTAGGCCCATTTTCATTACTGGACGGCGTCGTTGGCGGTTTGGTGTCCTGGAAAGGGAGAAAAATTAAAAAAAGATAAGATATGACTGAGTTTAAAAGTTTTTATAAAAAATGCATTAAAAATTATGGACCTTTTATTAAAAAAAAAAAAGAAATTGCCTTGCCAGACTGCGGGTGAAAGTTTTATTTATTTAGATTTTCCACACCAAGTTTTTCTTATTAAAAAAAATATATAGTTCATTCAATAGCAAAAACCAAAGGCGTAAATTTTTTAATTTCATACAGACTTCGGGAAAATAATGCAAGAAATACCAAGAAATTTTAAACTTCAATTCGATTTTTTAGATAAATTGTATGTATGTACGCATTTTGTACTTAATTAAATTGCAAGTTTCAAGTCGCTAAAAATTACCGTTGATTTTTGTAATTTTTTTTTGTCAATGGTTCTGCGCATTTTCCACTATATAACGCATGAATAAAATACATTTTTGTATGGAAGAAAATGCGCAACATCCTCGACAAAAAAATATTCGCAGGTCTTGAAACATGCACTTTATTATACTATAATTAAATCAGCTACAAAACTGCATACTCAACATTTTTCTAAGAAATCGAATTGAAAAATTGGAAATTCCGATGAAAATTTCTTGGTATTTCTTGCATTTTCACCGAGCTCTGTATGAATTTAAAATAAATAAATGTTCGGGGTTTTTGCTGTTGAATGAATTATGCATATTTTGAACGCCCGCTGTATAGTTACCGTACCGAAAAAAAACGTTCGTCGTGAGTCTAAAGCATTTTTGTAAGGTAATTTCGATATTTTTTTTTTTTTGCTGAACAAAGCGGTTGCTTCTTACAAGCTTTTAGATCAAATTATGCAATCAATATATGACCAACTTCCCGATGACCTAAAGACTTGAAACTTCAGACTTACCTCTGAACCCGATGACAATGCAATATGAAAGATGACCTAATCCGATAGGTGGCACAGGAGTCGAGATATTTGAAAGTACCACGGAACACGCCAATGTTAGTAAAATAAAGCTCACCAAAAATCATTAAACTTTTGCTAAGGAAGTAAGTATTTCGAATATTCCAATAGAACTATGTAGTATTAAAAAAAAAATTCATTGTCGAATGTAGGTGTCACCGAAAAAATGTAAAAAGGCCACTCCCCGGTTCCAAAATTTTTTTTTTTTCGAAATTGGTTAGCAAAAATACTTTAGACTCAGGAGTGTACACCGAAGTGGTTTTTGCTACGGTCGAATGTACTATGTACGTATGTATGTATGTATGTATGTACATATGTATGTATGTATGTATATCTATGTATGGAGTAATTCCCGCCTCAAATTCTCCGGATTGGATTCAAATGGTAAAACAGTTGAATTTATTGAGATTTTTGAGTGCATCAGGCACTTGAGTTGGAATGCCAGTTGGAACATCTGTTATATACATTTGTGCGTACTACATATTTATGTACAAACATACATACATATGTATGTATATACCAGCATGTATACGATTAGAAATTCGTCTTTGTCTATAAGTACTTAGAACATTTGTTAGAGCAACGATCTTGCTTAGTTGTTATTGTTTTTCGTTGGTACGAGTATAAAAATAGTCAGAGATTTCAAGAAGACAACGCAATGCTTTCATAGGCCTATAAACATTGAATATAACATACGTTAAAAAAAAAACCAAAAAAAATCGTATATACAAATGTTACATATCTACAGATGTAGTTATGTACATACATAAATATGGGCAAAAGTACATATGTATGTATATTTATAGGAAATCGCCGTACGATTTCAATGGGATCAACCGCTAAGAGCAGTCACACTGCAAGTGACTAAAGACGATACATATGAATATACACATACCTAAAGATATGTACCCTGCAAACCATTTTTCAGAGTATTCTGAATTGTAGAGAACTTAAAAAAATCGTAAAGATCTCATCCGATTTTTCGCCGAATTTTCTAAAATGATATAAACGTTAAGCACTTCGATTCTTTTACGAAAATTTGGGAAAAAATCGGTAAAACAATGAAAATAATGCTGCCGTATGAAGAATTTCATGCAGATTTTTTTCAGAATTTTCTTTATTATTGGTACATAAATTTCTTTGCGAGTTCGTGTCAACCACTTCATATAATTTTCATTGAAGATTCGTAAAAAATTGTCACAGAAATGAAATACTCCTAAAGATTTCGTTAAGATCTCGGGAACTTTGGTGGTTTGCAGGGTATTTACATTGTGCATACATGCATATGTATGGAAGCAGTACAGTAGCTGGTTTTTCGCATTTTTAAACAATTTTTGTTTTCACTTTTTCCACGCTTTGTTTCGATTTTTACTGTATTAAGTTTGCTGAAAACAAGCAGAAAAAAACGCTTAACACATAAGTAATACAAGCGATATCCCAGTTGTTGCACGCAAAATCCAAACCAGCGATGAGAAAGCTCGTTGTTGCACGATCACCCAAAGTGATCCCATCTTTTGTAGTTGACTGGTTGTTGGCTGTTGACTGCCTGGTAGCTTCGGGCCATAGCCAATAGTGAGGCTGTGGGGATTAGTTCCTCGCATTTTCTGCCCTCTTTGTCGCCTTACGCCCCTACAATCGCTCACTCACTCTTTCAGCCGTTCACTGTCGGTCGGCAGATGGGCGGTCGGTCGGTCGGTGGGGCGCGCGTTTTAAGCATATCATCGTAGTATGGATATACTACATTCGTATGCACATTTAGTACGTTAGTACACTCATTATAGTACTGTTGAACGACGATGATCATGGTGAAGATGAGTGTAGTACGAACATTTTTATGTATGTATACTATATGCATATACTGTGTGTAGATACTGTATGTGGTGTGTAGTTATATTAATAGAAAAACTTATATGTATGTATGTACCAGCATAGCGCATGTACATACATATGTATGTAAATCGCGTAGAGAAATACTTAAAAATAACTTACCATTTAGTAATTTAACAAAGCAGAGAAAGAACTCTGTTGTTGCCAGCTTTTCTACCACGAAATGAAATCAACGCGATCATTAAAAAAAAAATATGTAACATACATACATATATATGTAACTAAATAGCGACTGAGTATTACTTACATACGTACGATCGCTTGTGTATATGTAACGGGTGTTCCAAATAGTGTTTTTTTTTTTAACAAAAGGTCTTTTGACATTTACAGCTTCTTTCTAAAACTGGCTAATAAGATGTGCTGCTGCAAAGCCAGCTCACGATGAATGAAATCGTGTTCCATAGGTAATGGGAATGTTCGATCTTTCGAATAAATCAGTAATATATTCAAAAAATTAAGTTTATTTTTTTTTTAATTTTTAAGGAAACCATTGGACCACTTTGTGGGTACATACATACATATAGAGTCCGACCGATTAATCGGCATCGGCATCAGCTAGTATCGCCCAAAAGAATCGGCATCGGCTTCGACATCAGCATCGGACGTTTTTGGCCTATTCATAGCCGATTCTTTTTACTTTTTCTGCACTTCATTCCACGTTTTTTAATTCTTACGTTGCATCTGACACACATCCACATCCACAAAAAAATTGCCAAAAATCAATGGTAAGTTCTAGCTACCTAAAATTTGCACTGCGCTTAAATAATTGAATGAGCTACAAAACTGCATACTAAGAATGTTTAAATAAAAAGTTTGAAATTTTTACTCACATGGTTTTTGTTAGATAACGAGCTACACTTTCATAAAAGTCACTGTATATATTGTTACGATTATCCTTGAATTAATTGCTGAATTCTTAAATCCTTCGCGTTCTTTTCACTGGATTGTTAAATTGTTTATATTACAAAAATACTTTCATCATTATTTTAAAATCTACGGTTACTGTTTATTAACAAATTGTATTTATAGTCAGCTGAATCTGCATATTTTCACTACTAACTATGAGTACAACCAGGAAATGTGGTTTCGAATGAACTATTTATTTTACATTGATTAAAGTAATGTGCTTCTCGCGAAGAGCTGTTCTGCCAGTTTCTTATATAATAGGTAA